CCAAAATCCCAATATCGTGCATCCCTAAACTTTTCATATTCTGTTCAACTCAAAAGTGGGAAATTGTTTTAATGTGTTTATAGCAGAGAGACAGAATTGAAAATAATCTGCTCGTCCTGCCTAGTCAGAGCCTCTCTATAAAATCGGATCTGAGATTAAAAGTTATACGCAGCCGGTGTGTTTAGTTCAGTTCAATTCAATTCAGTTTATTTCTATAGCACCAATTCACAACACAAGTCATCTCAAGGCACTTTCCAGTTCAGGCCTTTATGGTGAGAAACATCAACTAGAAGTGCTGCTCATGGAGCCATTCTGCTTCCATCATCTACATTGATGATGTAATCAATGTAACCTGGGGATTTATTCCTACCTGCTGTTCCTCGTCTCTTCTTCCAGATGACGAAGATTAACAAAGCCACCAAAATGATCCCAGCAGACACACACAGTCCAACGGCCATCTTGGTCAGGGCTGAGAGAAAAACCCAACAAACAGACAAACATCAGAGCAACTCAGAATATGATGCAGAAATGGTTCCAAGAAGAATGTCTTTACCTTCATCTGCTGTAGATCTGGGCTGGATCTTCTTGCATTCGGTGTCGCTGGTTGAGGTGCAGTTCTTCACAACCTCCTCATCACCTTTACAGCTGTTAGAGGCAGAGAACCCAGAGAGTTAGCCGCAGTAGTGAACGGATCATCTGGGCGTTTGCACTCACTGACCTCCTGCACTTCTTGCATATTTCACACGCCTCGTCTGGATGGCAGTACCTCCCTGGCTTGCACTGACAGACGGTGTCCTGGGTGGGGGTGCAGGCCCTGAGCATTTCCTGATCTGATGGTTAAACAGCAGAGTTCGTGCTCAGCGCGCTCTGAACCGATGCAGCATGGAACGTCTTTACGATCAGTAACCGTAGAGCAGGATTACCTGGGGGGCACTGGGTGCACTTGATGCACTGTTTCAACCCGTTGGCATGCTCGGTGAACGTCCCATCCTCGCATTTTTCACAGCTTCCTTTCTGTCCGGCTTCGGTGCAGTGGCTCTTCACGAACTGACCTGCAACAGAAGCAGCAGTCTGTGGATCCGACCTTCAGCGTTTCACTCGGCTCACGGCTGCAGCCTCCGTGTTTCTTACCGGCTTCACATTTCAAGCAGCAGATGCTGCTGTGCAGGTACTCTGTGTCTTCTCTGCAGGCTGCGGAGCGACCTGCCCTGGCGCCTCGGTGGGGGTGCGCCGCGCCGACCTGGAGGACGGCTACCAACGTCCACCAGACCTGTGGAGAACAGCAGAAGGCGGACATGTTGCTGAAATGGAGCAGGGAGACGAACTTTAAACACTTAGATGGTCTGATCTCTGCTGCCGATTCACCATTATTTTACTAATCCATTAATCTGTCAATTAATTGATTACTAATTTTATAGCAAATGGTTTGTTTTACGAAATTAAATCAGGTGAAACTAAAACTTTTCTACTTAAGTATGGATAAATCATATTGACAGATGAAAAAGCTTTTTTATCTTATAGATAAAATATTTATTTGTAAGTGGGTTCCTCTGCCAGCTAAAGGCCTCTCTTTACTCCATTTAATGATTAATCGATTACTGAATTAGTTGATTATTTCAATAATCGATTAATCTGATTCATTGTTTCAGTCGTGATTCTAATGTTAAACTGTAACCTAAAGATTTCCTTGCTAAAGTGTATTTTTCATGTATTTCTATTAGTTTTAAAAAAAGTTTAAGCAATAAAAAGCAATCCCTGCATCCCTGATCACCGACTAACTGATGGAAAACTCTGCAAAATGCTACAAGATTCTCATTATTTCCCACTGAAGTTTAGATCATTGTCTCATAAGGAGAAGAAGCCAAATTAGGCAATAAGTTGCTTTACTTTTAATTAGCCTCCTTTAAAGTTTAAGGAAAGCCCCAATAAGGCAATGACCGGCCTCAGGCAGCGAACAGAGATAAGGTTGGACTTTACTCCCTGATTGGCTGAGCTCCCCCTGATCAAACCGCTTCCCCCGACAGTGAGTCATAAGGCTGAAGTACAGGCCACGCCCCCTTTTAAACGCCGCTGTTTACTCTCAGGTCGAACCCATCCAGGAAAACAGGAAAGGTGGAGACATGATTCATTCATTCGTTCTCTGCAGCATGAATCAGAAGAAACAAACAAGATCGGAACCTCAAACCGATTAATCAGCCGAATGCTTTTTAGATTAATCAATAAAAAGTTTGAATCACCAAAGGTTTATTTATTAAAGTTGATTTTTACATAATTAAAACAGGTGAAACTAAAACTTTTCCACCTGAGAAGTTCTGGATATTGACAGAGAAATTTATCTCTATATTTTTATCATCTTGGTATAATTCCTGCTCTCAGTGAGTCGCTCTGTCAGCTGAAGGCCTGTTTAAAGTCTCTATATTCCAGTTTACAATGAATCCATCAGTGATTGTGGATTAGTTTGTGGATTAGGACACGGAGGACAGCTTAGAGGAACAGACTCCAGATTAGTAATCAGCTTCACTTCATCTGGACCAGAAACCAAACACAGAATCCATCATGTTGGTTCTCTGCATCTTTCCCTACAGAAGCCTTCCTGAAAAAACAGCACAGCAGTAATCCAGCTGCAATAATCTAGATACAGTCCAGCAGTAATCTAGCTGCAATAATCTAGATACAATAATCTAGATGCAATAATCTAGCTGCAATAATCTAGATGCAGTCCTACAGTAATTTATGGCAATAATCTAGCTGCAG